GAGGTTAGACGCAGGGTATTAGGGAATGATGGTAAATCAGTTGATGAGGTGATGAATCTTCATCGACTGAGATGGTTGGGCCATGTGTTACGTATGCCTGAACACCGATTACCACGACGCGCTATGATGACTAGTACTGGGGATTGTTGGAAGAGAGTTAGGGGCGGCCAAACCAAAACATGGCATCAGTGTTTGAAGTCACTAACTTCTAGTCTGAGCCATGTTGGCAGATGCAGACTACCTTGTTGGGGTCCGCGTGACTATCGTAACCAATGGTTGGAGACTCTAGGTGACATGGCTCAGAATCGATCACAATGGCGTAGGTGTATACACTCTTTATCTTCCTTTAAACCTTGAGACTAAAATTGCTTCATATCTCTCTTCCTTCCTGTACTATATCCTTATATACAACCTATAATTTATATACTACTACCAACACTAGATTAACTACTATGAATCCGGTGTTCCTCTTGTTGTGCTAATGAGGTATGGCAACTTGGACCGATGCATATATGTGCCTGGTCCTACGTTGTAGCTGACCTGTCACAAAGGGGGTTTGAATTTTCATTTGGCTAAGGCTTCAATAAACCTTAGTATACGAAAAGGTACTGGGTCAGAGTACCACAGTGAACATCAACTCTCAGATGTAGGTACACCCAGCTGACGAATCCCAAATAGGACGAAACGCGCGTCCTGGATTCCACTGAACACAACTATGTATCTCTCCTTTTATTGTTTGTGAATCGAAGCCTCATCGAGGCAATACGCACACTATGCACATATGTCAATAACACACTGATCAATTGCAGTGCTCAACATCAATGAGAACATGCAAGTACACAATGCTGATTGAATTTGAACATGACCAGTTTGCACAAGTGAGTGGCTGTGGGAAATCAGTAGGTGAGTGGATAACTTGCAGTCCTATACATCAATGGGAAGATTCAAACAGACAATACTAAATAAAATTAGTATACTCCTTTTTACACTTTTATACAACACTACAAAAACCGAGTTTAGATAAATCTCATGGCCTGTTTCGATTATATGTTTGGCAATAGAGGATGGTGGATGTTTATCCATTACTCTTATCGGGTTATTTGATAATATTTGTGTTCTGCAACCATTTCGGTACATGTTCACACACCCTAATTTTCAGATCATGATTGCTCCTCCCTATGTATGTGTGACCACACACACACTTAAGTTGGTAGACGCAGTGGGATGTCACAATCGTTTTCATGTCTTTTACGTTTTGAATGAAGCATGGACTTCGTTCTTTCTATATATATAAAGAAAACATTGATTGTTTTTTCAAGATTTTTAATACTGTCATCTATATATGTTCTCGATTAATATTTTGTGCATTATCTTGTCATAATTAAATGTTTATTTTATTATTGGTAAGGATTTTATTGATATCGTTGTTGATATCGTTGACTGAAATAATAAAATCAGTCTTTATCAGTATATTTGAATACAGTCCCCATACCTTTGATATTAGTCATTATGTTACATGTTGAGATAAAATTAATTGGTTGTGGATAATAATAGAAACTCAAACACTTAATAATCAATCATGTAAGTATCATACTCTCTGAATAAGTTTGAATTGAAAGATTATTGGTTTGAGGTCTAATGTGAACATCAACACAGGTATATCCTGCCAGTAAGTTACAAAGAGAACGAAATAATTCTCCTGGATTCCATTGTTAGCGACAACCTATTAATTATAATTAACCTATCTGTACTGTATTGGAATACTTTAGGGGAAATTCCTAATTCCTGATTCCTATATTACTCAAACTGATAACCGTTATTAGATAACTTCCAACAATGCATACATCTTAAAAGACAGTACGAAGTGTTGACTACTGTTTATTATTGTACAGTGTAGATCGTGAAACCAAAAGGATACAAAGAGATTATGAACAAAAATGAGAATAATAATGAATGACAATGAACACTACTGAGTGAATGAATCAACAAGATTTCAGAGACAAACATATATAGAAAATGAAATGAGTCATCAAACGATTTAGTCAACTAAGTTAATTGAAGTACTTAACGTACTTGAGCGTATACAGACTCAAGCACAGGTGAGGTACTATAGTACAAACAATTTATAAGACATTTAAATATTAAATTAGTCAAAAAAAGTTTCTCTGTATCTTTTTGAAATAAAATCTAATCATAGTTGAGTATTGAAAACTGGTTTGATCACTTCACTTATTGATTTATTCATCCAATCACCATTGTATTGTGATTTGTCATGGCAACTTCTATTGTTTATTTCCATTTTTTAGAAATGGAACATTAATCTATTTCGTTCTCGTATATCATCATATAAGATTTAATTGAACAAATTCAATGGATTATACAAACTATAAATACAAATGCTTTCGTTTAAATGTTTTCAAACAATTGTTAATATGATCTTGTTTTAAAAAGTAAGTGAATGCTTATTTAAATTAACAATGCATTTTATATTTAAGGCTTACATAAATTTCCCTTACTCATACGTGTGTAAAAACTCACTGTCTTTTTATGTGAATGACCAATATGGGTGTAGATGAAATAGAATATAATGCATGACTTTGTCATATAGGCGTTTCCAACACCAAAAATTTTTGAGTCATAATTCAGTGTACTAAGTTAATACAACACAATATTATTTACTCATACTATGAATAGTGTCTAGTAAAAGTATAATATACAAATGGGTTTGAGTTAATTAGTGAGAATTCAAATGATGCTTTATGTATTTTGTTCAAAATTTATAATGCAGTGATAGGTAACGTGTAGGTTCATATTGATCAAGTGAAAATTCACAATATTTGACTCTTAAAATGTTTGCAATTGATAAAAAATATCTACTATACCACCAAAAAGTGAAGTTTAAATAGTTCTTGAGCTAATTACGTAACATACCTGCTCCTAAGGCATAATGTATGTTAACATACTTGATGTCATTCATTACGTAATCAAGATTGTTTACTGAAGCTAGATAATATTCTTCCTTCTTTTTAGTTTTGTTTTAAATCTCAACCCTAAGTTTCTCAAGTTTGTAAACAGGAAGGCGACTGGTAATTGGATTATAGCTTATGTCAGTTCGCATTGGAAACCCTGACTCTATTTTGTAAGCCTAATTCAAAACTTCAGTTGAACTCATGATACCTAACCCTAACTTTTTTACATCATAACTGATGTCAGTTGGGGACGAAAACTCTATGAGGCTAGAAACCTCCCTTAAAACACTAATTCAACTCCTAATATGTACTTATGTATGTATGTATGTATGTATGTACACTTGAACAGTTTCCTTTACTAAAACAGGTAATTTGAGATGAATGGATTTATTATTCAAAGCAAAGCTGTCGTTCCACTGTTATTTCATTGCTTTTTACTGTTAATTACATTACAACTAGCAGGTGTCGTTCAAGTTTGTCAGAGAATAATGTGGATTTTAAATAAATAATAATACATTTTAACAAACAAAGATGGATAGTGGCTAGCAGAGGAATCAAGAACGCGCGTTTCGTCCTATTTTGGACTCATCAGCTGGATGTACCTGCATCTCAGAGTTGGTGTCCACTCTGGAACTCGAATCCAGTACCGTTCACTTCAAACGCCATCGCGTTATCCACTTAGCTATTGAGTCCTGATACCCACTTGCTTGTGCAATGGAAATATTCAAACAAACAATACTCAGTGAATATTTTAACAAATTTTACTTTAATGAATATCAGAAAGAAAAAAATACTGAAAAAACAGCACAAAATATCACACCTGAAAAATAGCAATGAAAATCATGGTTAATTTATTGTGTTGAAATAAAAACTTGTACAAAGTGTGCATATAGTGAATTGAAGTTATAATTTAGTAATTAGAAATTTTTTTCTGAAATAATTATTGAAAGATATTGTGATATGAGGGGAGGGAATGAGGTTATTGAGCTAAATTTTAATAGATTTGTTGGCTGAACTTGAGTGTAACGACTGTAATTATCTGTTAATAAATTAACCATCATCAGCTGATTTAAGATTGAGATAATCCAATAATGATTATTCACTTATGTCTATCACATCAAATCGAATTATATGTGTTCACCTTCGTGCCTCACATAAATTCAGCTCTGCTTACACAGAGATCCATTACAAAAGTCGTGAGCAAATGGGTGAGTGAAAAAGAGGGCACAGTTATAAAGGGGACACGTTATTATGGGGCGATCATCAAAAAGGTCTACGTTAGCAAAGGTGAACATCAAAAGAGAGAATATTATTTTTAATGGTATGAAATCTGTTCGATTTACCCTCTGTTCCTATAGCTGTGCAATAAATAAAAAACAAACGCAATTTTTAAAATGTTTGATGAAGTGTCTACTTCCAACAAATATTGTAATTTTTCGAACTTGTTGACAATTTGTTATTCACTGCTATAAGTTCTGTGCACTAAATCCTCTTGGGTATCTAACACATAAAAACACACCTTTGGGTAGATTATCCTCTAGCTGTTCAATTTAGATGTACAAGATAGCAAAGGTAATAAACAAATAACAAATTGTCAATAAGTCCAAAAAATTACAATATTTGTTTAAAGTAGACTCTTCATCAAACATTTTAAAAATTACGTTTGTTTTTTATTTATTGCACAGCTATAGGAACAGAGGGTAAATCGAACAGATTTCATACCATTAAAAATAATATTCTCCCTTTTGATGTTCACCTTTATTAATTACACTTTTTTGATAGTCACCCTTATAAATATGTGTCCTTATGTAATGGCGCTCTTTTAACATTTGGCCCTTTCATAGACGCGCTTTTTCTCATGCCGTTATTAGTATGAACCCAAGATCAGGTATATCTTGTATTCCAATAGCAATTGCTATATTTTATTAGTTAATGTGATGTATTACTAGTCCACATTGTAAATAATATGGTTATTTAATGACGAAAGAAGAAAACATAACATATGCGAATGAAAAGAAGATGTATACTAACCAATTTGTATTCTCGCTAAAGTAAATTTTGTGCGATCCATTGTTGGTATAGGTTGTAATGACCATTGAAAACGTTCTCTATCACCTTGACAAAATAATTCACAACAAACACGTATTGCCCATTCTTTACATATCGGCCAAATTCGACAGGGATTACTAATATCTGAGCACTTTAAAGCCATCTATAAAATACATAAGAAAAGGCATTAAGAGGGTATATATATAGATATATGACTGTTGCTTAATCAATAATTAACTATATTCAATGTTTCTATGTCGATTTATCAGTAATTATTGTTCTTGTTTTAGTAATAATGAACAATGTTTACATTGAAGATTGGTCTGAAGATATTGTTTGTTTGCTGAGATATTAATTTATTTTATTCTCTTGAAAGGAATCAAAGAGGAGAGTATTTTAGTTGATAATTTAATTTATAACAATATCTTATTTATGATATTTAGCTTAAAATAAATGACAAATAAATAATTGAACATTGACAAAGATACGCTCATACAAATTAACTTTGTTTTAAAATTCTTCCAATTTATATATATTAAACAAAAATTAAAAGTTATTCAGTTCAGTCATAGATGATCTAAATGATAATTGAACTTATTTATTGTTTATTTTTGGTTTTTCTTGTTATTGTCGTTTCATAAATAAATGAAATTATTAGAACATTAGCTCATTCAATTATAATTTTGATTAATCTGGGTTACAAATCTTATTCATTATTTCAACCAGGTCTGTTGTGAGATAGTAACTCACCGACGATATTAGTGGATGGTTGCTCAATTTCGTGGATTGGTTGAAGTTATACATTAACACCGTTGTAAGCCGGCTCAGCGGTCTAGAGGTTCAGCACTCGCGAGCGAGACTGATAGGTTCTGGGTTCGAATCTCTCGAGGCGGGATCGTGGATGCGCACTGCTGAGGAGTCCCATAATAGGACGAAACAGTCATTCAGTGCCTCCAGGTTTTCCATGGTGGTCTATCTTCAATTGATTCATGATTTCAACTTTGAATTAATAATTTAACTATTACATAATCACAACCTTTTGCTATTCAGTAATGTATTATAAAGTTGTGTATTAAACTATGGATTATATTGACTGCGTGTAGCATATGAAGTAAAAGTATGACTTGGTTTCTTAAACAAAAGATGGTACCTATAAATGGAACTTTTTAATATATTAATTTAAATATAGTTTGCATATTTTAAGAGAGGCTGTAGCTTATTCCTACTTGTAATGACAAATTCAACAAATTAAAATGTGGGTACCTATTCTGTGAAATTAAAGAAATGTGTATTACATACAACTCGTTCTTAATTTTTTACGTTCTGAATGCTTTAAACCAAAATATAATTCTTCTGGTATGTAAGAACAAGAAACTACTTTGTAGGACAACTGAAAAGGGATAAAAGAAGCACTAACTTCAACGTGTCAGGAGGTTCTTGGTCTCATTTAAACATTAAAATTAAAACACGAAGTTAAGCGAGGGGATCGCTTTTCAACGAATTTATTATCAAGCTGTACAGTCGTATATATATGAAAATGTTTTATTAAAGTACTAATTCCGTGAGGAAATGTGAACACTAATAACCAAGATTATAATAAGATGATTAAAATGAATAAAATGTTTTGGTTACAATAATTAAAGGTCATAGAGCCGTAAAAATAAATGAGGTGATATGATAAATGTTCATGAATAAAATAATGAGAACATAAGACATAAGTAAAGGGGTAATGCAGTAATAATAATAATAATAATAGAATGACAATAATAATATTAAGGCCATGGTAACGATAATGATAAGACGTACTTCTTTTGTACGCATAGTTCTGGTTTAAGCTCATGGATGGTAAGAACTATTTTTAAGAGTTTGATACGGAGAAATCTAGGTAGATTTGAATGAATCATATAAACAACCTTAAAATCAGACTGTGGATCCGTAGAATGATTACAGTCGATTAGGTGTTTAAGTATAGAACTCCTAACTGCTTTCCTTTCACCCTTGTAGAACTAAACTGGGATATGTTCTCGTAACCGAGTTGAAAGCGAGCGCTGGCTACGACCGATGTACTTTGTTCCACCGAATTAGTACTTTAACAAAACATTTTCATATATATACGATTGTACAACTTGATAATAAATTCGATGAAAAGAGATCCCTTCGCTGAAATTCATGTTTTTAATATAAATTTTAGAAATAATAAAATTTTCTTGAAAATTAATTACTAACAGTAAATAGAATCAATTAAATGAATAATTATTGTCTATTTTTTTTAACATACTTGCATGATCAACAGCCGATCGGATATTGTAAATGGTAATGATGGATTAGCCATATGATAGTTTGTTAAATCCTGTGAAAATAAGTTAAACAAATTCGTATTTATGTATATAGTTAAATATTCATAAATATTGAAAATAGAATCATTTTGAAGGGAAAAAGGTTCATAGTATCAATCTATTTTTAAAAAAAGTAAAATGTTTCTTCACTCAAACAGATAGAAATAGTATAGAAATAAGTAGTATCATCTAACTACCTTACTTATAAGTAGCAGTTGTTTTACTGAAGATTTTTATTTTTTTATTTAATTATAAAATATCTGTTTTTCTATTATTTAGTTCAATTATGATTAGTTAGACAGTATCAAACTAACATTGTTCTCTCTTGTCTGGATTTATTAAAATACGGTATGCTATTCTGATTTTACCATCTCTAATCTAAGCTTGTTGCATAAACAAACTTTGTTTAAATACGGAAATAGACACACAATAATAATTATGTATCGTTGTCTCCAGTTTATTCGACCTTTAAAGTGTATATTCTGATGAAAACGATATTATATGTACAAAAAAATTAGAACACGAACTTTGCAACGTTTATAATAATTGAAAAGATAGTTTATTTAGTTATGTAAGGGGTTTCAATAATTGTCAAGTGATTTTCATCACAAAGTGCAATTAAAAACGGGTGTCATTTGTTTTAGCTTAATTCACTACTTCATAGAATTGTAAAGCTGTTATTTACATGGAATCGAAATCGTTGTTCAAGTCTCAACACCTCATAGATACAATGATTTCCACGTAACGAATAAATTGTTTTACCATTATTGATCACTGACTAATTCTGGTTTATGAGTTATTTCCTAATCTAAGTGGTGAAATATACTAAACATTATTTACCTTGTTATTTGTTTTATACGTTTCCAGAAATTCATTAATATATATATATATACATATATAATGTTTGGTTTACACATATATATTATGCTTAAAATAAATCTCCAGCTCTATTATAATCTTAATTATTTACGCTTTACGATTCTTAAAATAGTTAAGGGTTTAAAATCCAGCAAACACGCTAACATCTCAATAATTTGCTATTGAAGCCTAAAATAAAATGTGGAACCCTAACATAGATATGTACATTATCAGTGAATAATCATTCATATTATCATTATACATAATATGAAAGATAATCCTTAGTGAGGTTCATGGATTTGTACTACTAAGCAGTCTGATACTAGTACGAAACAGACCTGCAGTGTTTCATATTTTTCAGTAATTAGTCAAATGAGGTTATTATATGATGTTGATTTCTTTTGAAATAATATTGAATAATCACTTGAAAACAAATGAAAACTACGGTGCATCAACAAAGAAGGAAGTAAATGTAACAAAATAAGTATAATTAGAAGAAACGAAAAAAACAACCTCAGTTTCTTCTCTTTTTTTTTACTCTTCATTGTCTTACTTTATTTCTGGTTTTATCTCTAGTAAATTAGATCAAATCAATTCTATCGACATGACGATTATTTAATTATTTCCATTATCTTATCGTTAAATCAGATTTTATAATTCAATATTGTAAGTTATCTATCATTTTAAATGTTTTATTCTCTATTCATTTACATATACACATCTATATTAGAGTTTTTACAGTGATAAAAGTAGATGATATCGATCAAGAGAGGAATAATAATAATTGATAAACAGAGGAAATTATTATGATACGGCAAAAAGATTGATATTAAATCCTTAAATGAAATTGAAACTAAAGAAAACTATGTGACCTATATATTGAAAAAAATTGAAATAATATCAATCTGTCCTAAACTAATGAATCGAAATGATGAATACATTATTCTATTGTGTTTTACAAATTCATAAAAATTTAAGATATTACATAATTATTACTGATTACGTAAAACCTATAAACTCCATCTTGAATTTTTTAATCACTAAGATAAACAGATTAATATTCTTGTTCATTTTGATAATACATAATACAAGTTAGAAGTTTACTTCAACTAAGCTCATCAAAAGTAAATAACATTTAAACAAACTATAATTTTATTAACTTCTTAAGATACACAATACATGTTACTATATAATTTTAATCATTACGATTGGTGATGATCAACATATCTGATGATCAACTTTAAAGGTATTTAACAAGTTAAGATATTGAATGAATTCAATAATAGATATTCACATTATTAAGGTTTGACTAGCTTAAAACAAAAATGTCATTGGTATAAACAATTGAATTATAATTAAATGGAAGTATTTTAGATACAAGTAAATTATGAAAAGAAACAATAACAAAAAAGGGGAAAGATTCAGTGATGAAAACAAGACAAGTTTCATTTGGACTTGTTTATTCATTTCTCACCCTTACCCCTCACCTATTCCATCATATCCCCCCAGCTTAACAACAAAAATTAAGATGATTTGTGATTTGTTTAAGTGATATACTAACTAATATTGAACAATCAATCTATACATATATAATACTTGTCAAAATAGTTATTATCTTAAAAATTAATTAATATTAATATTAATTCAATAATTATTCTAATGAATATTACTTTTTTAAGTAGTAATATTTTGACGAATAAGTTATATATATATATGACCTGATTATTTGAAATCTATATTTATATATAAAATAAATCAAATTCTTACATACGATCAACTTTATTTATAATTAACACTGATTAGTTGAAATTGATAAATGTGAAAGAATAATTATTAGAATTTCTCTTCATAAATATCATAGTAACACATTTAACCATGTTGCCGATAAATCAATTTAAGAAGTAATTCAGAAATGAATGGATCAAAGAAGAGGTTTTACTCTCCTTTTCTTTTTCAACTAATCAATAATCTATAGACTTTTAGTCTTTATGTAATTTACTATTTCAACCGTATCATTTATATATACATGTCAAGATGAAAGATAAGAGCTAATCTCTAAGTAGAACAAGCTTAAAAATTTCCTGTACACAAAGACTATACATATTACAATGCTAACTTCGACATTAATTTATATCGATCTAGGTTCTTACACTTTACAACAATACAATGAGAGAGTAAGATAACCAAATGAAAAACATACAAGGGAGATGTATGAACTAGACGTTTCTTGGTGGTCGATTATATATATATATATATATATATATATATATATATATAATTATTGAGGGAATATTAAGAACAAAAAGTAAGACATTTAGTGTTAGTACACTAGTCACTCACTAAGTAGTGACCAATACCGTATTGTCCACTTATTAGTACTAAACAAATTCTAAAGATTAAGCTGAATAATGATGGTTAGTTTGACCAACTCAACATTGTAGTGCAGATATTTAATGGCAAAACGCAAAAGCTGGTAGACAAAATAAAATGAATCCAGGTTTTAAACAGTTTTTTATTTATCACTAAGTCACATAAACAATCTTCATAAAACGGATTCTCTGAAGGAGTTAGGATCCTTAAATATTCGGACTTTAATTGACTACCTGCATGACTGATATATTTAATCTAACTGGTCATGGTGAATACACCTCTGACAACTCTATTACATAAGCTGTCTTTGAATTTCTCAGCTGTTGTCAGATCCTCGAAGAAAATATAAGAGCAAAAGTATAGTCCAACAGAGGAAACATCTAGCAAATAAAAAAAGTAATTAGAAGAACTATCTAATTTTGGCCCTGATTTTTGATAGTTCAAGTCAGATTATTTGATTTATAGAAATTCAATAAAATTATGTAAACTAATATCAAACTGTTGACTTTTGGTGTTTGTTAAATAGACTAGGATAAGTTGGAGGATAAACGATATGATACAACTTACTTTGAATTGTTTTTGATATACTCCTTGATATGTAATGTCAGTAGCTGGAATTAATTTTAGAAAACAGTCACGCACGAATTCCCTATCAATAAGAAAAAAACACAACAAAAGTAGCATTGAATATCTAACATTTACATTCCAGGGCATTATTTAAAAGTTTTGAAATAAAACAACTTGTGGTTTAAAATAAAACGAATTTCTTATTCATGAACAGTCTGTCAAGAAAACAAAACCCGCAAACTCTTCAAGAAAAATTAAGTCATAGGTATGTAAACTAAAAATAAGTTCAAGAATACGATAAGATGAATAAGCTGTCTTCCTGATAGCTTCCAACTAAACTACATTCTTACATTTTTCAACAAAATATTATTTTCTTGATTTACAAATGACAAATTCTAACAGGGCTAAATATAGTTTGAAATGGTAATTGATGTTTTCCATGAAATAATACTATTTGTTTATTCCATAAACTTGAGTTCTTTTGAAAATAGATTTTCTGTTGTGACTGCTCTAGTCGACTGACAAAGCTCTTGAAATTATTTAGTTACTTAAATGTCCTCACATAATTTCTTTATTTATTTAAACACATAAATATTGGTACAAGGAAGCACCACATATATATATGTACCACACAAAGCATTCGATTTGTGTGAGGGTTGAGATACTGCCCGGACACCCAAACTGAAACAGGAATTTCGAAGTTAGCAGATTTCAAATGTGAGAATGAATGGCCATCTAATTGAATCATTGTATCATTATTATTATAAAAGAATTAAGATTCTAAACTTTAAACAAAATATTTAACGAAATAGTTATAACTTGTCAGCTAATAAATAATTAAAGTAAAATGAATTTCGTAAAATGTAATGATTTCTTTCAGTACCGACTGTCATATCTGATTTTTTTCCATGGTTACTGCATTATTAAACACTTGAAAGTTTTATTCATTTCATAATAGTAAGGTAATAATATCTAATTAGATTAAAACAAAGTCTGAATGATATCAGTGTCCAAGTTGATGTATGACGTGGTTATTTAACCTATTAAATGTATAAGTTACTCCTGCCGATAAATTATAATTTAAGGTTTTACTTTTGGAGATTACACTCACAAGATTGGCTAAACTCAAATATTGCTTCAATGTATAACCTACTTAACCCCATTTAACATAAATCAATAGTTCTGACATAAAAACCTAGAAATATGTTTTAGTGGTTAACACATGTATTATTTATTTATTATTTAAACACATAAATATTGGTACCAAAGGGCACCAGATACATATGCGCCACATAAATCTCATTTGATTTGTGTGAAAGCTGTGATACTGCCCAGGTGCCCAGACCGAAGCAGGTGGCCTTTTTTAAGGGGCCACATCCGGAGCCTTTGACCTAAAGGTCTAACGCACAATGCAGTGTAGTATCATGAGGAGATGCAGTCTCATGGTGGTCGGTGACCGACGATTGAATCATACGCCATTTGTTTCCTCAGGATACTGGAGCACATGTGCACCATTGGTTTGGAATCAGGGTTTTCCAACTCCCCTAGATGAACTTTCCGTGTCCACCAACCCGGGTAAAGTGCCGGACATTCGCTTTTCGTCCTCTCAATTTTGTAGACAACAGTAATGCCACGAGAAGGCTGTGAATAGGAATTCCGTAGCATAGGTTTTATACGCGTGGCCGTGTGAGAGCAATTCGAGAGGGGGAGCGGGTTCTCCCCACTCCCGGCCGTTTCATGGCATTTGGGGGCTAACACATGTAAATGTATATCATTCATGCTGATCAGTAGTGTAATCATTTAACTAGAATAAAAGTGCACAGGACAAGCTGTGAATCACATGTGGAGAAATTGAAACACTTCACTTTTACCCGAAGTTTGTGCTGATGATATCGTTCAGAAGGACGATGAAAGCTCCACGACCAAACCATCCAGCTCAGAGAACAAACCTACGTTAAAATGTTCTCTTTTTACGATTAAACTGATCAGTAGTGTGAAAGGAAATATTTACGTTAAAATTGTTCAGCCACATTCATAGAAGTGCTGATGTACGAGGATCCATTCAATAAGGGATATGATATAAGAAATTATAACAAAACTAGCAGCTAAAAACGAATGTCATAAACTCATGGTTAAATATGACCAAAAAAATGATTAACAATATAAATTATTATTACGACTTAAACATGAAAACAATTATATAACAAGACAAACAACTAACCATTCATGTAATTCTAATGCATTAGACAATCCATTTTCTTGAAGAATGCATAATCCAAATTTTGCATGATGTTTTTCCAATACAGAAACAGACTAAATGTTTGAATAATAATTATTAATATAAAACGATAAATATATATAGAGAAAGAAGTTTAAAGTAAACACACGAAAATGTAATATGTTATTACTGATAACAGTGGGATATAATTTGATAATAAAAAAAAAGAGAAAATACATTGAAATGAATCAATAAAACAGATGAGTTACATGGTTAACATGATTACTTAGTATCTTGAGGTATTTTTTTTCTTTATATAAAAAAACAATAATCGAACAGAAGCTCGACTACTTCCTATCGCCAATGCATACATTTTTCATATCCAACATTATACACACACAAATAAATGCGATAATGTCTGATATAGAATCAACTTGACTAAAAATAACATGACATTAATGTATTCAGACCTATAATGATTTTGATTATAATAAGAATACTCTGTTTGGATTTATTTATACTATTTAAACTTGTGTTAATTTATTTTGGTTAGTTACTTATTAACTCTGAAGAAGTGGATCACATTCAGTCACGAAACATCAGAAATACAATTTTCTACATTTTGGAATATCATAAAGTATATAATTAATATGAACAGAAATTAGTTATATGTATCATTACCAAGTTTTGATTTAATAATTTTGAATAAATTGAGCATTGGGTAGATTGTTATAAATAAGCTAATATATTTGTAATATCCCAATGAGTAGAAAAATTAAATGTTCTGACGTTTTGAGACTCAATGTAAGCCACTTCTCCGGGTGCCCAAACCGAAGCAGGTGATTTTCTTAAGAGGCCACACCCCGAACCTTTGACCTAAAGGTCTAACCCACAAGGCAGTGGAGCATCGTGAGAAGATGCAGTCTCATGGTAGCCCGTGACCGCGATTGATTCATATGCCATTTGTTCCCTCAGGATAATGGAGCCCATGTGCACCATTGGTTTGGAATCAGGGTTTTCCAACTTCCCTAGGTGAACTTTATTCTCTGAAGAAGTGACTTACACTGAGTCCCGAAACGTCAGAAAATCTAATTTTTCTACTCATTGGGATATTACAAATATATTAATTTATTTATAGAAATTAGTTATGTTACTTTCTTGGTGGTCGCTATTTTGTTAATTCCATGAGTTACAGAATAAATAAGTGATTAATAACCATGAATTCAGAGTGTGGATTTTTCTCTTTCATTAATAGTGAATAACAAATTGAAATAGAACTAACAATCTTGAATATTTGAAAGAATTGTGAGATCTGGTTAATTTGTGGGTAGTATTCGCCATGGATTGAGTTGATTTACGGTTCTATCGAAAATCAGGGAGAACTGAACAATTCTTTACTCCTAGTATGGTCACAGTTTCTAGTAGTATCATTTGAAAGCAGTATTGAAGAGTTTCTTACTAGAAAAGAACAGATCCAACGCCCTCTAGTTTCACTGATACGCAACATAAGATCAGCCCGTTATAAATACTGCCTGAAAATCATTAAGATTACTGATTTACAAAAAAAGCCAGTTGTTATTTCAATGTTCATTTCAATATATTTACTGCATGTTGAACAATAAGTTCCTGGAACATATGGAAGGTAAACAAGGGCTTTATGAGTTACTACGTTAGTCCATTATCATTAAATAAACAGACGGTGTTCAGACACGATTTATTTTGGGATTAAAACTTAGGATTCTTATATGTTGTGTGGTAAGCAAAAAGTCATTTGGTTAATAAGCCGAAATTCGGTAGTTATTGTTCTTTTAATTTCGGTCAATTTGTGATCACATATATTTTAAAGGTAGATTGCGTTTACAAAGCTAACAAACAATACAGAAGAATAATTAAAACCGAACAGCTCTGACCAAGGGTTTCATTTCGGTTTATGAAACTCTAGTTGAGTAAACTGACTGATCACCGAATGGTAACCAATTCCACGTTTGTTTTTGTATTGGTCGACATCTCTCAATAGAATTTCAACGCGGTCACCAATCAAAATGACTTGGCATTGCATGTACTATTGGTACGATGACTTGCGATCTCACGGAAAGCACGTATTCCCTTAAGACCACAGTTATGGCTTAGCGATGATACCCAAATAGCATGTAATCCAAATCCGTGGATTTCGATTAATAACAGTCGCCTTACATCAAAACTCGAGATAGTATTAATGAATGATGAATGCCACACTCTAATCAGGCAAAAATCTCCATTTATCGAATCTAAAATCGAATTTTATTCATCCAATAATTTCTAATCTATTTAAGTATAAAAAAAGAAATGATAAACAATCCATAGGAAATAAGTTTTGTTTAGTAATACAAGTGACAAATGAATTTTTGTGTGTGAACCGATTTATTTAAATTTCTTATTGTATTCCGATTTTTTCGTCCCCTTATCAATCAATTCGAGCTTTTTAACAAAAATAAAGGACATCTAAGTATAAGATAATGATTAACTTGTAGTATATAAGGAAGGTCAGTATTCAGAGGTTGACGATTTACGAAAGAAAAACATTTAAAGAGAGAAGGATGACTAGCGGGATAAATAATTTGTCTTAATTTACATCCTGTTATATATATATATATATATATATATATATATATATATATATGCAGAGGGAGGGAGAGGATTACCATAAGAATGGTGAGTTGTTTACTTATGCGTTAACAATCTTCGTCTATTTAATCTATATTTGATGTATACACACGACAGTTATAATCAATACCTTACTGAATAATTTATTTCAACCACATAATATTTAAAGAATATCAAAATAAATCAAATCCTAATAACACTGTAAATAAAACAACAATTTATTAAAAATCAAGTCGAGATAAAATAATGCCATTACTTACTTAATGACAAGTAGAATGCTAGTCGTTTACAGATTAAAAATATCATTACATATAATGTTGTGATTAAAGCCTATCGAATTATATCAATCATTTGTAATATGGTCACTAATTTTAGTCACTTAATATTTGGTAGATTATATCTGAGCGCTAGACGCATCTTCAGTTATTCAGCTGATCCATAAGAATGGATAGCGATCAAGGACTAGATGAATACTATCTAGGTTAATACTTAGGGATCAATCAATGTAGATATGTCATAGTTGTAGGTGGTCAATTATGACTCGAATAACTCAGTGATAACATCTATGACTGTGATCCTGAGTGATATCTGTTATAATCCCACGAGGAGTACTCGTTACATCAATGATGTATATATCCCATGCTTAATAATGATGACTAGAACAAAACTTAGGTTCAGGGTTTAATGATGATTGACTCCAGCCATACAACATCCGAATGTGTTGTGCACAATATATGACTAATGATTTACATAGCAAATGGTCGATAAAATTTGATCTCAACTAAGGACTGAACAAATATCACAATGATTATGAGCCAGTAAATAGTCAGGTTAATTACTACATTTACTAAACTGATCAGTTATACGTTTCGTTAACGGCAATTAATCGATAAATATTTGGATTTAGACTAGAACTTTCTGAAGAAGAGTGTCAACTGTCGAAAGTGAAAAACTTCAAATTAATAATCGATCTAAAAGTCAAGAAAAACTTTTACAGAGACATTCATACAAACAATTTATAAGCAGTAGATTAAACATGTGATAAATAACAAGCCATCTATAATACAGAAAAAATACATTAAAACAAAACAGAGAAATAAGAAGTGTATTTTTTGTTATATTCCAATGAGTAGAAACATTGTATTTCTAACGTTTCGTGACTTAATATAGGCCGCTTCTACAGAGGAAATAAATTAACACAAGTTCCTTCGTATTATTTAAACCTGTGGTAATGGAATTTGATTATTTATTTACTCTGAACAAGTAGCTTACATTAAATCGCGAAGCGTCAGAAATACAATTTTTCTACTCATTGGGAAGTAACAAGAAAACATATTTACCATTAACTTTCTACTCAATACTTAATTTATTTGAAACTATCAAGTCCAACCTTGGCATTAATACTTATAAACTATAAAAATATCATGATGCAACATAATATTAATTTTCTAAATTACAAAACACCATAACTAATCCATTTGTAATCATTGATTGAATGAACAAAAAATTAATTATTTTAGACTGAATAATTTTAAGATTCTAAGGGTATAAAATTCTTTTTCTACGTTGTTGTATATACATATAGACTAAAAGGCAAGGTTGGGTAAAACAAGGACCGCGTTCCTACAGTTGAATAACATATGGAACTCAAAACAATTATCAACCAATATCAAAGTCAAAATCTTTATTACGAACATCAAGACAGTTCTACTGTATGGAGCTGAAACTTGGTAAACCAATACAACCATCCTTAAAACGGTACAAGTATTTATAAACGATTGTCTACACAAGATACTCAATGTACATTGGTTGGATACTATCATCAATAGCCTACTATGGGAGAGAACCAACCAGCTTCCATTTGAGGAGGAAATTAGGAAAAGACGTTGGAAGTGGACGAGACATGAATTATGGAAATCATCAGACAAAATCACAAGGCAAGTGCCAACTTGAATACCTGAAAGGAAAACAGAAAAGTGGAAGACCAAAGGACACACTACATCGGGAATCGGAAGCAGATATGAAAAGTGATGAATAGCAACTGTAAAGAACTGGAAAAAAATGTTCAAGATAGATTTGAATGGAGAATTCTGGTGGGTGGCCTATGCTCTTCCGAGAAAGATAACAGACTTAAGTAAGTATAAATAAGTAGTACCATAAGAGAGAAAAAAATTCAACTCAAAACATCACATGATATAAAAAAGATAAGAATACAACACGTAACTGTATTGAAACCAAATACTAAATAAAAACAATCAATTTTTCATTTATAATCAAAACTGAATAAACATTCCAATTAGACAAATATTTCTTAAACCGAAGTCATCATTTTGAAAAAAATATCTGATCTAGGCACACTTAATCTAGATCCTATCATTATCATTATTATCATCCAAAAAAAGAATAAAAATAAAAGGAGAAAAAAATCATATTACAAAAAGTAGTATAAATTAAAACAAACTGATTGAAATGGAACATATGCTTTTTGTTGTTGAAGTTGTTGTTGTTATGTAGTGTCCGAAAAAAATAGATATATATTCTAAGTTAGTTATGTCATAAATGAAATTGTAAAATGATAAAGGGTTTCCTTCAAAATATTATTAAATTATTATTTCGTTTCTTTTAATATTATTAAAATATTTTTGAATCTAACAAAACATTCATCAAACATACAAATTTCTCAGGATGACAATGATGTGGTGATGGTGGTGGTGGTAGTGGTGATGGTGATGATGGTGATGGTAGTGAATAACTTTTAAACTAGTTCATTATTATAAGTTATTAACTATAGATCATTTACAAGTAACTAACTGGTTCATCTAGGATATGACGTTTAATCTTGATGAATAATAATTCATAATAAAATATTTCTTCTTAAAAATAAATAAATAATCTCATTTACTAACTTATCTCATACAACCAAAATACATTTGTATATTCATAAAGGAAGAAGAAGTTAAAAACAACTAAATTGAATAATATTTTTTTAAAGCAATTAGTCCCTTTGATAAATTTCGATAATGCAATGAGAAGACGAAGATTATCAGAACTAAACTCGGCTTTTGTGGTGTTGTTTAAAAGTGTAAAAGGGCGTATACTAAGGTTTGTTGAAGCCTTAGCCATACGAAAATTCAACCCCCCTTTGTGTATTCAAAAACAGTTTGTTCTCTCTTTAAACCTACCCTGGTAATAAATGCTTATTATCCAGAGTGATTAGGTGTCAAGTTGTTTTCACATTATTTTATCATTATATCCTTGTCTATTTCTTAACCTTATTACCAGTCTAGTTGACCTTTTATTTTTATATATAAATGTTCTTAACAAGTATATGTGTGATCAGATTGTTCGAAATGTATTGCGCTAATATTTTTTTGTTTTTATATTTTTTATGTATACGTCTAGGTCTGGAATAAGTGAATGGATAGGTGAATGTTGTCCACTAAACAACATTTTATTGACAACTTCCCGGTATGAAGATTTCAAATCTATTGTAAGACACCTTAGAAGGATATCAAGACTTTATTTATATTAGCATTGCATCATACTCAACCATCATGAATAGTTGTAGAGTTCCATATCTTCCTAACTTCATTAAATTGAAGTCATACTGTGGTGTTATCTACTTATATCCATATAAGTAGCATATGGTGTGGGTCAGACATAGAATGTATTTTGGCAGAAGACCGATGACGAAAGAACTGAAATGAAGCGCAATCGCTTGGAAAATGCATGAGCAATGGAATAAGAGAAGAAACAGTGAAGATTGAAACAATTGGTTGTTAATTTGCAAATTGACTGTTCATTGTTTGGTTATGAGAATTTACTGAGATAGTCTGTAACTTTTGCTTAAATACATTCGATTGTCCCCAACTAGTGTTCTGTTCATTACAATACCACAATTCGACAACTGTTCAGTCTGATACATCTTTACGTCGTGCTTTGACTCATCTACCTTACTCAGTACACACTAAACAAAATAATTAAGGACTGATCGTTCTAAGCTTTAGTTTAAGAGTATCAGAATCAAGAAAAAAGAAGACTAATATACTAAAACTTCCAGTTTTTAGAATTAAATTTTAGGAATATAAATTTTTATTTATTGATGATTTTGTGAAATTAAATTAAAAACAATTCATTACTTAAATAGTAGAATTATTTAATTGGACCTCATTATTGTTCAAACAACTGTGCATGTGAGATGTAATGAATTAAAATCACTACTGAGAGCAATAGGAAGAGACATAAATGTAGAAGAAGGTACCACACTTAATTACATGGATTTTCGCTAGAGATGGTATTTTCGCGGCCTACTTGAATGTATAGACTACCTATTCCTTTCATCTAGACATTCCAACAAGTTATCTGTTTTTTGTTTGTTTTGACACATTATTATGTCGATTAATCGCCTAACTTATCCAGGCGGGTTTATGGAAGTTTACGACCTTTCACTGTACAAGTTATAAAAAATTTACAATCAGAGACATCATGATGGCTGGCAATATGAATAGGAAAGGATGAACATTCTTTAACTACTAAAATCTGACTGGTGATCACTCAATATTTATCGTCAGGATCGATCAAAAAATAAGAAAAGGATGTTTGTCGAAATACTTTGTGCTGAGAATTTTATATTGCACTAAAAATAGAATACCGAAAAATGCCATCAATAATTATATATATATATATATATATATATATACATATTGTGAGAGAGAGGTTCGAATTATAACTGTTTCCATTCTATCACTGTTCAACGTTTCTTCACATCAAACCAATATGAAGATGAATCAATAGTCAGAGTGAGATAGAATGAAACAGAGTAAGAAATAAAGATTGACAGAGAGGGAAGGAGTGGTGGAGAGCCACGAAAAGAAAACGAAGAATTATAATGCAAAGGAATAGTAATACAAAACTATTTCAAAGAGATTCATTTGTCGAATAAAAAAAGAACCATGAATACAAAATGGATTAGTCACAATTTTCGGAGACAATCTACAGAAACAAGCAAACAAACAAGGGAATAGCGAACAATGACGCACGTGAAAAGTAATTTTATTTCTTAAAAAAAAAATAATAAGAAGTTTACAATAATAATAATAATAACTAATGAATTAACAAATCAATAAGATGTTAGTTTTACATGGTTTTTACTAATTCACTTATTTACCCCAGTTTCCTTTATTATATTTATTAAAGAGAGAAAGAATCAGATAAGAAACCGATGTAACTATTGATAGTTATTACTATTACTATGGTTATTATTATTGTGATATACACCGAAATCGTACATATAGATAAGAAATATTTCAATTAATTGAATCATTTTTTTCCAATGAATATAACTACAAGGGAAACTGACAGGTTGAAAAACATATAGTGATGTATTTGTGTATCCTGAATTCCATTAAAGTATATATATGCCAAATCTGATCGTTGGTGTTCCTATGTAATTCAGCCCTTATTAGTTTGTTTTTCTTCTTCCTGTTTCTATGATCCTTCTGATTACAGTCCATCTTCGTTTCAATATTTTATAATATCATGCTGACCCTTCGCTTTCCAATTATAATTCCCCTCTCTATCTTCATGATCGATATTCAAGGCCTCGACAATAAAACTGTTATTAGTTTCCCTGATAAAAAATAATGCTTTAATACCCTTGTTTATATCTACCTCAATGGTATTATGTTTAACAAAATTTTATTATCACTATTGTTGTAATTAGTAACATCTTGAAAAATAAGTATATGTTTGCGATCGTACAGTTTTGGAAATGAATACGCCGAGAAGAGAATTCTTCGCTGAATCAGTTTTTCTTAGGTTACGTCTCAATAGGTATATTCCGTTTACTTAAAAGAAATTTTTATTCAGTTATCAATCAGTATAAACACCTCTGTTTTACAAGGAGTCATTTATAGTCTGCGTTGCTCCGTAATAACATGTAGTTTTGACTTTTAGTAATGTTATATTACGTTCAAAAGGACCATTAATTTATTTAGTTTCGCAATCATTCATGTTAATGAGTACTGATCAGTATGGAACTTGAATCCTGAATACACTGACGAAATGTAAACATAAAAAGTTCATGCACTAATTACAACAAAGTACTTGATATCACCTGATATTTTTAGTATTTTCACTATAATTACCTATAAGTGGTTTATTGAACGAAGTCTAGATTTCTTCTGTGTTACTGTACAACAAATAAGTGAGATGTAATTTTATTTGTTCCATAGGAATTTTCAGTAAATGATACATCTGTAAATCACGCATAAGTATATTATGTGGAACAATGACGACGTGTAGATGTTGTTTAATAATGTCCACTAACTTATCTTGATCTATCATCTAACACTCCAAAAAAGTAGAAAACGGTTTAAAAAGATAAACGTAACGTTAGTCACTATTAATTTTAAACTCTGCTTTTTGTTTTTCAAGACAGCTCTGATAACCTCCTAAATGAACAAATATACTTTTAATACTAGTCAAGAAATTTAAATTAAAAGTAATTTATTAGCATAGGGTTGTGGAGATTATTGAGTTTTAGTTGAGATCACCAACCGATCAATATTAGACCACCACTGAAAATCTGGGAGCACTGTACGTCCATTTTATCCTAGTATGAAGTTCAACTGTGCCGGATGTGAGGCAGTTATCCACAGAAGACAATGAAATATGGTTGCTCAATATCGTGGATCAGTTGAAGTTAAACATCAATATCGTTGGATGTCGGTTCAGTAGTCTATAGGTTAAGCGTTCGTGTACAAGACCGAAGGTCCTCGATTCGAGTTCTGTGTGTGGGATCGCTGTCGCGCACCGCTGAGGAGTTTCATACATGGATGAAACGACTATCTAGTGCTTCCAGGTTTTCAACGGTGGTCTAACATTGCCCAGTTCATGATCTCAATTAAAAGTAATGTAAGGATATACATTTTTCTCGTGTTTATTTAGTGGTTAACATTAACAAAACACTGTCAATCAAGTAATTAATTAAATATCGTTTATTAGTCAGAAGATTAATAATAACAGTTTTTATTTTCCTTAAAAAATAACATTTTTCTGGAATACAAATTAATTTGTCAAACAAAATTATTTATTTCCACTTACTTTATATAAATCAACTAAAAAATCACCTGTCTTCTCTAGATAGGATTGATTGACACCGGGATGATCAGCATCATGTAAAGCGGCTGCCAATAGACTAGCGAAAATTTCTGTCGGACTTAAAATGGTCAGAAGCTGAAAATAGAAAAAGATTTGAAGAGAATACGGTTGTTTAATTTCTTTACTTTATCTTTTATAGGATGACAACTACATTAACATCAAAACGTGGTAAAAATATATGATGTCAAATATAAGTAGTGGTAAATGGAATTTTAGTACAGAAAGTATATTAAAATTGTTTATTTTATCGCTTAAATCATAAACATATTTTAGTTGGTGAACTAGCAGAAAACAAAAAGCACAAGACAGATGTTATGTTCTATTATGAGATTTTTCAGAAATGTCACCTACCACCGTGAAGTAATTAGGTTGATAGCAATTAGTTGAGATTTAATGTAAAGCCGTGATTGTTGGAGTGCATCCATACTAGATACAAGATGCAATGAATGACTAACATGGAATATTACGAAATAAGATCAGCAATGTGAACTAATATATCCCTACTCAATGATTCTAAACATGATGGGCTCAGCATATTACATATTGGTTTTAAGTCCGGCCCCCGATGGAGCTATAAGTGACTACTTTTCATAAGTCTCATCATAAAAAGAGACAGGTATACAGTACTTCATGGATTTCATTAATTCTCTGCACAAAGTCACATTGCAATGCAATCCTTAAAAAATAACTAAAAGTATTGGAATTTTTTTTAAAAAGAAGCAGTAAAATATCAAGTTTTTGCTAGCGAATTTATATCGAACCAGCATAAAATAGGGAATCATTCAAAATAAACCCAAGAGACATTTGTTTCATGGCAATTCGACACTCTTCACTGTTCACGCACAACACCAATATAGGATTGAACTTTAGACATGTGGTGAATACCATGATTTCAAATCATTAGGTTAGTGCTCAATTACCATCATTTGACAAAAACAATTTTCTATATTTAGAAAAGTCCTTATTTAATGTTATAATTATGTGTATTCCAATCATGTTTATTCTTATAGATAATACTGAATTATCAGTAGAAAACTATTGAGTACACTTATTCAATGCCTAATTTACTTGTATGGCCCTACAACAAATATACAAATTTAAAATTATCAAAACCCTTTAAAAACCTAGTGCAAGATCTGCTGCTTGGTTAAATAAGTCTTCAAATTAGATGTGGATGTTGAGGAGTACCACAATAGGACGAAACAGCCGTCCAGTGTTTCCAGGTTTTCCATGGTGGTCTAGCTTCAATTGACTCATGATCGCAACTATTGAAATTATTAAAATATCCACAGAACCCCTTCTGAAATTAATTGTTAATCACTTAAAATAATATTGTACAATTACATAATCAATTATTTGACAAATGCAGGAACATCTAACTGACAAGTCCCAAATAGGATGAAACATGTGTCCTGGATTCCACTGATAACCACCATCCATCTGATAATTGTTTATTTCTTAAAATGAATTATATAGTACTTTTAAAGAAAAAACTTTTATTTGTAATTGTATAGATAAATTTTAAGATTAATCAGATTGAATTAAGTAGTTACATGCTTTGTAAAATTTTATTGCCGCTTAAAACGTTGTTCTTGTGATTCTGTGTTGTAAATAGAATTTTTTTGAAGAAAAAAAGGAAAAAAAACGACTTTACAATCCTGGTAAGTGATATTAATGTAAATAAAACTTACCTCATTAGACGTATATTATTACTTTTTGTAGCAGTGATGCATTGGGTGTTTGTAGTTGCCTCAATGATCCATTATTTTAATATAATTTATAATTTTCTAACTTAAGACTAATAATATTTTAATTTAGTCTCAGTATGAGCTTTTAATTAATTTAGAATCGGATTTATTACATATTAAAAGTGAAAAAAACTGCATTTGCATTGGTTTATAGCTGTGAAACATCTACTTTAGAAGTAGAAGATATGAGTAGGCTGAGTTTTTGATCATAAGTCTCTTTGAAGCGTGATTTGAGTTTTGTGGAATCACAGAGTGAGCGATGTTGGAGTTAGGCATGAGGTACTAGGGAAGAGTGGCAAATTAGTGAATGAACATGTAAATACTCGTTGACTGAAATGTTTACGATATGCTTTAAGTTTGCCTGCTTACGTTGAGATGATGTTTGCTGGTGTCATCAGCATAGCTGTTTTTAATTCAGACATGACTTACTCCACAGTTTCAGAGTTTCCCAAAAAAAATCTTAAGAATTTTACTTCTAAATCAGTCACCAATAGAAATATGATTGTTAATAACATTATTATTCATTCAAGTTTCAAATCACGGACAGATATTAGGTAGACAACTATTAAAAATCAGGATGCACTGGACAGCTGTTTGCTTTCAGTTTCAATTCCCTAAAAGTGTACATCCACGACCCCACAGAGGATTAAACCCAGGATCTTTAAACCTCGTGACGAGTACTTAACATTTTGACCACTGAATCGGTACATAAGGGTCTACACTTCCAACTTGAGTTAATTTGTGATCATTATTTAATCAGACAGTTTATAAAATTTATTATTCATTTTCACAAATTTTCAATCAGGAACTGATCTAAGTTATCTCATCATTGAGAACCTCTAAGAAACGTAGGGTTGTTTCCTTTGGTATGAAACCTTTCAACAGCAGACATCCTTTGCACCCGCATCCGGAAATCAAACCTAGGATCTTTGAGCATCATAGCTTGATTACATACTATGGATGGTATGCAGCTAATAATAATCCCATTTCATCAGGCGAACTTATGTTATAATATCTAGTGTGTTATCTTTCTTTCTGTACAATTATGGTTAAGTCACAGAGGCTAAAGATCTCCAATTAATTAGTGACATCAAATAGTAAAATCCAGGATTTAAAATGTTTTTATTCATCTGACTATAGTAAAAATATCAGAGCTGATACATAAAATTGTACATAAAATCTCTGTCCCAATTACTCATTTTTAATCACACTTTAAGTATTAGACTTGAGGAAGAAATGTAGTCTAATCAAATATGGTATACTGGAATCAATGTAAATCTATATCTATAAATAGAGAGAAATGAGAGAGAGAAACTGTAATTTCATGGAGAAAAATAATGAGATTCGTTAATATGATAAAGATAAATGAATGAATAAATGAATAGACAAATGGATAAATACATAAAGGTAAATTAACAGTTGGAAAGATTTTGCCTAAGGGTTAAATAATTCTATGAATTATAAAAGTTGAATTAGTGAATGAACCATTATTTCATTTAGTTCGAGAAAAAGACCCATGAGAAATGAGTGATGTAGAGAGAAATATAAAGTCACAAATAATAAAGTTAATATGACTAGTTGAAAAACACATCTTGTTTAACAGCATTTCAGATCATATAATAATTACTAGAATAGTTCACTGGTAAAATAGCTTGTTATAACATTAAGAAACATCTGTTTGATACCTACACGAGGATCATTAGTTGAGTCATAACTTATTATTAAATGTCAACTTGTGTGAAATCCACGCACAAGTAATTCCATCTCATCAATTGTCATTATTTATGAAATCATTTTATATTTATAATTAAAAATATAAGAGGAATCTTCTATTTAATGATATTTAGAGAAATGTACATGAGTTTTATTTATACAAAATAAAATGTTCACTATGGGGTTGAGAAGATTGTTTAATTTCATTGAAATCACGAACCAATAAATTTTAAACCAAATTGAAAACCTGGAAGGTTAAGAGTTCGCGCGATACTGAAAGTCCTGGGTTCAAGACCCGCTTGTGTGATCATGTATGCACACAGCTGAGAAGCCTCATACTAGAACAAGGCGGTCATCAAGTGCTTCCAAGTTTTCAATGGTGATCTAACATTGATCGGTTCGTGGGTTTGAGTCAATGCTAACAACAAAATAGATTACGTAATTAAACATGATAAACCTATAATATGTTCACTAGTAAAAGTAATAATTTTTATATATAATTCAAAATTAGTTCTTTTTTAAATACAGAAGTTCCCTTATTTCACGATTTTCTAAATGTTGAATAAAGAAATTAGTCAAGGCTTTAAAAGTTCTAAGTGATACTTTAAATAAGTTTTAAAATAAATATGTGGGTTTTTGTTAAAGAAAGAGGGAATTGAGAAAAGAAACTTTTCTTACATTTCAATACAAAATAAACTAGGGATTCAACATTTAAAACGTAAAGGTAATGTCTTATGAAATCATTGAAAACCAGAGAGTGCTTAACAATCGTTTCACTTTATTTTATAAATTCCTTATGACTATACAATAAAAAAAGACCTGTATTTAAAATTGAAACCCTTATGGTTATGCACTGATCGGAATATCACTAAGACGTTTAGTTTCAACCTTCATTCTTTTTAGTCCAATACATCCTATAATCTTCCTATACTGTCACCAACTGATGATAATCTCATCATGGACTTGTTTTACTCTATATATCACAGCGTCATACTACAATATCATTCCTATTCGATATTATTCATGAATGATTAAATGAGATCAAAAGGTCTGGGTTGGATTTCTTACAAAGTCATCTCAAATTATGTCAAAAAGAAATTATTCAATGTTCGTTGATGTTCATTAGTTTAATAGTTGATATCAGTGTCTGTAGATAAAACTAACCTTGAACTAAATTAACTTTTTAAAAGCTTTCATATTATTCACAAGATTTAGTCTTTCACTGACAAAACAAAAAAATGAGTTCAATATCCAGGACATGGGAACATAAACATATAAAACTGATTATCTAGGCAACGAATGCCTGTCTATCATACATAAAATGAGAAAGAAAATTAGTATTTTGAAGCAGGCGCGTTATATTTTCAACTATTATTATGTAAGAAAAAAGAGACAGAATGAGTTTTTCAAATTTCTTCAAATTTTTCGAAAAATGAATAGATAATAAAAATAATCAGAATTCAGAAGAATATTCAATCTTTTTCTATATTAATGGGTAAGTATTCCATCAAGTGTATCAACGTAGGAATTATTTACGAGATTTCAAGGCACAAAAAATACATTCCAGTATGTAATTCAAAATAATTCAAAAACGTGATTAGATACATTGAACCC